GCAGGTGGCTTTTGGATACAAGGCAGGTGGTCATACTGATTTTCTTAGGATACAGGAGCTGGTAGAGGATGTATAGGGCTGATCATGGAGCTCTAAGAGGGTGACAGGAAATTACCCCTTCACCTAGTCTGAGAGGGTGGGAGATACTGCTTTTGTCACTGCTTTTTTTTTTTTTTTTTTTTAAAAAGATGCGAGAGGCTGTAAGGCGCAATCATCAGATGATGGGAGTTCCAGTAGCATCAACAAGCTGAAAAAGAGGTTCTAGACTTTGTTAGCTGGAAAGTGAAATTATTTAGGCGTTGTAAGGAACAGGTTAGGTCCTTGGAGTCTGCAGTTGCTAGGCACAGAGTGAAATGTAGCATTTCTGTTAATTTGGAAATAATGAGAGGAAATATAAAAATACTTTACACCTTTAATAACACATTCAGACCATACTAAACCAAATGAAGTAGTTTAGACATTCACATCAACGTTACCATCTGTGCAGATAGTGCAGTATTTCAGCTATATCAAATACTATGCCTGTAACAAGTGACAAGGGGCAAAAATGGTAGAGAGACTGTCGCAGCAAGGCAAGATCATGATTATATTATCCTGCTGCTGTATACCAAGTAAACTTCCAGTTTAAAGAAACAAATAAACTGACGAGGAAACAGTGAAAGTCAAATTTGATTTGACACTTGTCACACTTACTTTTTTAAACTTTTCATAGATTCTAAGATCTGAAGGAACTATTATGATCATCTTGTCTGACTTCCTGCACAATACATTTCATTCTGTAATTCACCCCATAATTCTACATCAAGCCCATAACTCCTAATTGAGCTGGAGCATCTTTTAGAAAGACATCCAGTCTTGACTCAGAAACTTCAAGTGATGGAGAATCCACCACATTCCTAAATAAGTTGTTCCAATGGATAATTTATACCTTATTTTTAGTCTGAGTTTGTCTAGCTTTAACTTCCAGGCACTGGATCTGGTTATACTTTTGCCTGCTATACTGGATTGAAGAGCCTTCTACTATCAGAACCTTTTCCCCATAGACCACAATGAAGTCACCACTTAGCCTGCTCTTGAATAAACTAAATAGAATGGCTTCTCACTGTGAGGCAGGTTCTCCAGACCATTCACGTAGAACTCTTTTCTGAACTCTGTCCAATTTGTATTTTTAAAGTGTCGACACCCGAACTGAAAACAGTATTCCAGTAACTGTCTCACTAATAAAAAGAACCTTAGAGACTAACACATTTATTTGGGCATAAGCTTTTGTGGACTAAAACCCATTTCATCAGATGCATGGAGTGGAAAATACAGTAGGAAGATATTACACACACACACACACACAGAGCGAGCGAGCGAACATGAAAAGATGAAGGTTGCATACCAACTCAAACAGTGGTGTCAACTGTTTAAAATGCGCGACCCTGATTATCACTACAAAAGTGATTTTTCCTCCTGCTGATAATAGCCCACTGTAATTGATTTGTCTCTTTAGAGTTGGTAAGGCAACCCCCATCTTTTCATGTTCTCTGTATATCTGTCTATCTTCCTACTGTATTTTCTACTCCAGGCATTTGATGAAGTGGGTTTTAGCCCACAAAAGCCCACAAAAAGCCCAAATAAATTTGTTAGTCTCTGAGGTGCCACAAGTACTCCTCTTTTTGCTGATACAGACTAACACGGCTACCACTCTGAAACATGTCTCACTGTTATACACAGTGGTAATACCACCTCTTCCTTACTTCTACTCTATATTCCTCTGCTTATACATCCAAGGATCACACTAGCTTTAGCCACCACATCGCATTGACACATTATGTTCAGTTGATTACTTACTGTGGCCCCAAGCATTTTTTCTGAAGTACTGCTTTCCAAAATACAATTCCCCATCCTGTGAGACCTACATTTTTTGTTCATAATGGTATTTATGACCTTACATACCTTTGGCTCCCCTTTAGCTGTGTGAAAAACAGCAAACAAAAACACCGTGTTTTTTTCAAGGTTCAAGTGAACCCAGTTTACCAAACAATCCAGATTGCTCTGTAGAACTGAGCTGTCATTATTTACTGCTTCACAAATTTGTCACCTGAAAATTTTACCAAAAATGATGCTATCACTGATGGAAATATTAAATAGCACCAGACCAAGAACGCATTCCTGGATGCACCCCACTAGAAACACCCCCTTAGATGCCTCCCTATTTACAATTAATAGCTGATAGATATTAAAAAGTAAGTTTTTAATCCACTAATAGATCTATGGATTTTGTATAGTGGTATTTATTAATATCAGAATATACATGAGATAGTCATTTGACTTACAGGATTCTATGTAGAACATGTCAGTATAGTTACTATATTAATAGTTACCTCTATCAATTAAATTTCGAAAGTAATAAAAAATAGTTTGTCAAGACGTATTTGACATAAAACCAGCATGATTGCATCAATTATGCTACCATTCTTTATTATTTTTTTCTTTTACTGATTGCATCCCATATCAGCCTTTCCATGGTTTTGCCTTGGATCAAATGTCAAGATAATGTAGGCTTTTTTTAAGTATTGGCACAACATTAGCTTTTTTCCAGTCTCTAGACTGGAATGTTCCAAGATTTGTCAAGAATTAACATTAATTACTCAGACAGTTCTTCAACCAATTTTTTAAACTCTTGAATGCGGGTTATCTAGTTCTGTAGATTTAAAAATGTGTAGCTTTACACATAAAATAATAAATTCATATCAGTTTCCAAATTATTTTGTCAGTTTTTTTGATTTTTAGCAATAGTTGACAATAGAAGTCATTTCTGCACACAACCTAGTACTTCTTGGTCCAGATACACCAAACAGTACAGTAATGCCATGATGCCTATAAATTGCTCTGGCAGTCACATGACTATTGTATTTTCCTTCCATGCATTAAATGAACTTGGGAGTTTGAGAAGTTGTATCACCACAGATACAGTTCTAGTTAATATAGTTTATGAAATGTATTTAAATAAAAAATGAAAATATGCATATTTTCTCTTCCTTGTATTAGTTTATCTTTTTGCACTCATCCTACAACTCAAATGGATTCTAAAGTTTAAAATTTACCCACACTGGTGAACACTCCGAATAGTGACGATTACCCTTAACAAGGAAAGGTGCATAGTCAAGCTCCACGTGATTAAAAGCTTTAGGACTGGGCCCAGGATGTGTAAGACTTCCCTTAATTCCCTCACAGATTAAGTCTGCAACCTCATCCTAGTGTGATGTCAATGGTCCCAGTCATCAACCTTCATGATTTAATTTTATAATAAATCCTATCTAATTTAAAAATATTTCAGTTTGTCACCTCTCACTCATCATGTTTCATGATCAAGAAACTTTATCACTATTCTTATTTCCTTTACTATCTGTTGCCCTCGACTGTACTCCAATTTAGCTATGTATTTCTTCAGCTGTACTGCATTAATTAACTCAGCGTCATTTAAACTATACATAGCTCAGATATTATTTTACACTTCATATTTCACCTCTTGACTTGATGCCTGATCTATCAAAATTATCCTGCAATACAGCTACCTCCCGTGTTTCTTAACCACTTTCTTCATTTTAGGCTCATCTGCAAATTGAGATATTACACATTATAGCTTTGACTAAATCAATTTATTTACTGTGGGGCTTCATTCCTTGCCAGATTCCACAGACCACACACTTCTGACTCAAATTCTTTTTACCTGCTAGCCATTTAGTCACTCACTTTAATAAGTACGTGACTCACCTTTAGAAAGTTTATACAATAATCCATAATTTCAGACAGACACAGATAAAGAATTTCTACTTTTAGGGAGGAGTTGCTATCAGTGGTTCCTGAACGGTGGCATATGGATCACTGGTGGTCTTCGAAGTGCTTTATTGTGATCAATGGAGAGATGGCCACTTGATCACTGCTAGAAGCAGCTGAAAACAGGACCACAGAGAAGCCTCCTGTAACCTTGAGGCAAAATCTTGGTATGTGTGAAACGCTTTACTGAAAGGAGATTAAAAGACTAGCACTCCCTCTCAATGCCAGAAAAAGAATGAATTCATAGGAGAGGAACCAAAGTGAATAAGGAAATCTCCCTAGACCCTCCCTCCCCCCCCAGTTAAGAGACTGAAAGAACAAAACATTTTTTAGCTAACAAGTGTGGGAGGAAAAGAACAACTGTCTTTAAGTCTATAAAAAGTGAAAATGCAAGGACAAACAGGAATGATTTAGTGTGGTTGAATGGACCTGCCAAGTCCCGAGGAAAAGCACATTTTATACATCTAAATAAATAAGAGGTAGGTGCTACATCTTGGCAAGGGGGTAGACTAGATGATCCTCATAGTCCCTTTTAACCCTATGATTCTAAGTTTGAAATAGGACAAAACTGAGCAAATTAATACATATGTTGAATGCAAGGAAACAGACACCTAACAATGAGGTCTATTACCACTGTAAAATAGCCCCCAAGGGAGCAAGAGAAGCCCTTGCTTCATTTAAAACTCAAACGGATAAAACTGCTAATGCAGCAAGACGAACAATCCTGCAGTGGAAGGTGGATAGATAAGATGACTTACATCTCTTCCACCTCTCATTTCTATTCTTTCCTTTTCTGCTTCTCGCATCATTCCAAATGGCTATATGCACCACACCAGTAGTTTGATTAACTAAGACAACTAAGATTTACAGTCTCCGTCTAAAACTAATTAAAGAGAGCCAGGGTTGTGGTTTCTCTCTTAGCCAAACAGATTGCCACGTAGGAGCCACAAGCTTGAGAGCAACCTCAACGCACATGTGTTTAGCAGGCAAAACGGGAATTCCATATCACTTTCAAAATCTATTGAAAAATATGCAAGTCTTTTTATCTTCAAGTACCCTCTAGTGGCTGTTCAAGGTTACAATTGCTTCAGAGCAACCCAATAGTTGGCTCTGAAAGAATAACAGGTATTTATTTTTCTGGTTGTGAATTTTAATCAAAGGAGTACTCGTTTAACTGTTCTAGAATGTTTTTGTATTTATTGGAAGACATCATTCCATAAATAAGGAGTTATAACCTTGGGTATTATACCAGTTTTCTAAAAATGTAGTAATTATCACTAAAATAATTCATTTGGAAACAGATTTAGAACACACCTATTCATAAACCTTCAGAATTCTGATCATCTAAACACAGACACACACTTAATTAATCAACACATTTGCATAAATTAGAGTTGGTTGCAACTTGATTAGCTGAAATCAAAGAATTTTGATTTAGCTTTCAATATGAAAAAAATACCGAGTTTATTAAAACATCCTAAAGAGAACAAAAATTATGCATGCAGAGGATGTAGCCACACTTTTGGGTAGCATATATTAGCAAGCAGCCAAATTTACAATCACATATTAATAGATCAGCAGGCTGCAGATAATTCTTTAGTATTCCTTCATGTTAATAACAGGGGAAGTTATTTGGTAGAGGAACTTGATTAAGCCTTTGCCCATCCCTAAACAGAGCTGTTTGGCAAACCTCCTTTCCCATACAGGGCAGATGTCAGTGCATGGGTGGGATGGAGACTCAGTATCCTTCTTTCCATTATTGTGGTAGTAAGTCCTCTTCAGGAGAGCCACTTCCTGTGATTACTTTGTGACAGTTGTAAAAATGTCCCTAAGTGGTGTTGCATTTCTTTTGATGGAACAGTGACGATACAGCAGATGAAGCAGGGGACCAGGAGCACAAGTAGAAGCAGGCTTACAGTAGGCTTTAGCCATCCAACATCTATTTCCACGGAACTGAAAGAGTCAATAGCTGGGTCACTCTCTTTCTGCTGTTACTGGTGGGTGAGAGCTGCCAGGGACATTTTCCCAAGCATATTATAGCTTTCGTGAAAATATGAAACAATTAAGAAAAAGCTGAGAAGCATGTGTCTTGCTATTGCTAAAGGAAAAAATTAGACATTTTATTAAAAAAAATAGTTCAAGAAATGCAGTTGTATCAGATACTCACATAGCTTAAGGTGTGAGAGACTATATGCTATGACAATACATCTTCTACCTTGTGTGCAACTGTTTATATAGGTTACTTATGAGACAAAACACTATAAAATACTTGCCTGAAGTGAGGCATAAGAGAGACACTACGCATTCAAAGTAAAGACTTCACAACACGTAAGAGTAAACTGCACATAGAGATGAACATTATGTCAGACGTAAACTAAATCCCTGTGCACATGTGCAATAAATATCCCTCCTAATAAAGGGAAGCTAAATCCTCAATACAGCATTCAGAGCAATGGAGAGTTATGCAGTTCACAAGGCATGAAATAATGTCCTTTCATATGTGGCAACCAAGGAGCTCTGCAGCAGGAAAGATGGCTCTATTCTACAGATGGCACATGCAAAATTATTTCCATACCACAAATGACACAATGAAGAAAGAATTACGTGGCTGAAAAGCCTATGTAGCTCTTCTTTTATGCAAGTCATCTGCATCATTTTGTACATAAATGCACAGAATAAAATAAATTCATAGGCAGTAATGTACAATTCTCTTCAGCATGTCCATGGGCATGGTTTCTGAAGATTATCAGAGCCCTTTTCCTTTCTGAAGGCCAGCAGTCCTATGCATCAGTGGCTGCTTACCATTCATCCCCACGCTTGAGATTTGCAGTAATGCAGTACAAGTTTGCCATCACTTCCAAAACACTACAGGGGGAAAGAAAAGGGAATGGAGAAAGAGAAAAGCAACAAGGGGTTAGATTACCAATGAAGCAGTCCATTCATGAATTAAACTATTACTATTGGACAAATGCATCATGAAACAGTGTCACCTGTTATTAATATATTTATGTGATGTTATCCATGATGTGACAAATTTATGATGTCACCACTTTGGGCATGGCAGGCATATAGCAGATTTAAAAAGGCAGACAAGGGTACAGACAGATTCTACTAAACAAATATTAAGAAAGAAAAACACTCAAAACTAAAGTCACCTCATAGAGTGTCCCAACTTCCTGGTCTGGAGAAGGAGCAAAGGACTGATTCACATATATAAACTGTGAGGGAAGAAAACAGAAAGTGAAAAAATCTGCCTGGGGAGTTATCTTCCTACCTATGAGGAGCACTTTTTCAAACCTGTGCCCCTGGCAGGGATATGGTGAAGGCTACCTTCTGTTCACCATATTTACCTCTCTTTACACCTTGAAAATTCTGCATCAGAGCCACCACTATTTAGGGAGAGAGGTACTGCATGGAACCTACCAATTCTGTTCTTTAACTGGCCAACAGGGTCTTTGCTGGAACAATGTGAGACACCCCCGCTTCCCCAGAGTCTGAGCATGCTACCCATTTGTACTAGGACCTGCAATCATGCACTTGTCTTGCACACTGCCATCAAGCCAATGGTCTGGTCCTCACTCTTTTGCTTTGAATATCCAACACCAAGACCTCCTGTCTAGTGTAAAATTTTTTGCATCAAACATACCCATGGAAACTTTTATCTAGGGGTGAAAGTAACATAAAAGTGTTACCAGTAATTTCAGGGCCTCGGGTGGAAGGGGTGGGGCTGGGGATCAGCCTCCCCCAGCTAGCCCTTCTGCGCTGCCCAGCCCTCACTGCCCAGGGCTCCGGAAGTGATTTAAAAGACCCAGGGCTCCGGCAGTAGCAGCAGCCAGGAGCCCCAAGCCCTTTTAAATCGCCGGGCCCTGGGGCAGCTGCCCCTTTTGCCGCCCCTTCTAGTGAAGGCCTGCTAAATCAACAGCAGAGCGCTCTCCAGTTGACTTCCTTACTCCACCTCTCTGAGAAGAGTAAGGTAAGTTGACGGAAGAGCATCTCCCATCGACGCAGTGCAGCGAAGACACTGCGGTAAGTCGACCTAAGCTACGTTGACTCCTTTTACATGATTCATGTAGCTGGAGTAGTGTAACTTAGGTCGATTTACCCCGCTAGTGTAGACAAGACCTAAGTGCTGAAAACGTCTAAGTTTATTAAAAGAAAACCAGGAACTGGCCTCCAGGGGAACAGGAGTGTCTGAGACTGATGGTAAGACCATAGATGTATGTATCTATATTATTATTAATCATTTGTATTACTATAGTGCCTGGGAGCCCTAGGACCTTGGTGTGCTAGGCACTATACAATTGCATAAGGAAAATGCAATAGCTTTTATTTAATATAAGGGTTTTGAGATTTTTTTCCTGTATGCACTACAATGATTTGTGTTTTCCTTATGTTTTATTATATATGTATTTCACTTCCTTCACTTATTTAGACAGCTGAATTTGTGCTTAGCCTAGCTAGGCTAACCTCATCCTAGGGCAGTGGTCCCCAACCTTTCAGTGGGAATAGCATATTCCTATTCCCAGGAGACTGTGGCAGGCGCCAGACACCCTGCTGCCGAAATGCTGCCGAGAAACGGCAACGCTTCTCGGCAGCATTTCGGTGGGCTGTTCTCTGGCGGCCACGCTCGGCGACGGCATTTCGGCAGCGTGGTGTCCTGCAGGCACACACAACTGCCTCAGCAGGTGCCACTGCACCCACAGGCACTATGTTGGGGACCCCTGTCCTAGGGTGACCAGACAGCAAGTGTGAAAAATCGGGACGCAGGTGTGGGGGGCTAATAGGTGCCTATATAAGACAAAGCCCCAAATATCAGGACTATCCCTATAAAATCGGGACATCTGGTCACCCTACCTCACCCCAATGTAGACCCATCTAGGTCAATGGAAAAATGCTTCTGGTGAGGTAGCTAACTTTGTTTTTGGAGCTGGTGTTCCTACACTGATGGAAAAACCCCTTCCCTAGTGCGGGCTGCAGCTGCATTCTGGGGTGATGCTAACATAGCTTTGCAACCGTAGGGGCTCCAAGGTCAGGAAGTACTACCAGCCCCTTTTGTTCTCAGGTTCCCGGCGGAGAGTTCCCTTGTCACCATACAAAGCAACTTACACAATTAAGAAGCAGGCAACATGATGCCATCACGGACTGCAGCCTTGCCAGCTCCACACGCAAGACACCAAGCAGCCCCAGTGCCCACCGCATCTTTCCCCGGCTCAGAGACTAAACAAGGCAAGGCACGTACCAGCTGCTCCGAGGCCACCAGCTTGAGGAACTTTTTGATGAAGTCAATGAGCCCCTGGATGGTGCGGGTCCTCTCCACGGCCCACTTCTTGTTCTTCATGATCGGCGTGTCCCCCACAGCCTTCAGCAGGACGTCAACTAGGGCGAAAGCCGAGACTGAGCGAAGGAAACCAGCCCCGCGCACCTGCCTGCCGCAGAGGCAGGAGCCCCGCCCCAAGGCACAGGCAGCCCGCCGCACCGACAGCGCAACAGCGACAGGCCCCGCCCCGCCCCTTCGCGCCGGGACAAGCTATTGGCCGCTGTCCTGCGGGCCCACCCGCGGCCGGGAGATACCAAGGCGCCCGTACGACGGGGCTGGAGCATTTTCTCCTCTTCTCTCCCCCCCGCCCCGATCGTATCCTCTGTCTTTTTCTAATTGGTTAAACTAGCTGAAGTAGGCGGCTCCTTCTTTCACCCGATTGGCCAATGCGCCTGGCAATCAGAGCGAACCCAGGATCTCGCCCCGCCCCCAGAGCAATAATTCCTTTTCCTATTACTTTTCTTCTTGGTGTCCTCGGCGGGTTCCTCGGTCACCGGGGAGCCGGCTGAAGGGGGAGCCGGCTCGGCAACCCCCACCGCAGTTCCCCCATTCGGGCGCTCTTCTCCACACTCGCCTCGGCTACCATCCTGAGGAGAGAGCGGTAGCTGCTTCTCCACTTCCGCCATATTGCTTACAGGCAAGTAAGGGCGGACGTGACGTGACCCATAGTAACTCCTGGCAGGGGCCACTGAGATCACGTGACCGAAGGGCACCATTCCCAGCGAATGTTGACAATCGCGATGAGCCGCACCGCCTTGTCAGGTGACTTCGTGTCACGTGGGCAGCCGGAGCTGTTCTGTTTCCGCTCTGGGCCCGAGTCGTGGGGGAGCTGCTGCTCGGGTGAAGGGGGAGGGGCAGAGCTCGCAGTGACCCGGCCGGCTGGAGCGGCCTCCTCCCGCCGCCTCACCATGATCAAAGCGATCCTCATCTTCAACAACCACGGCAAACCCCGGCTCTCCAAGTTCTACCAGCGCTATGTACGGGGGCGGGGCGCGGCGGCGGCGGCGGGCGGGGGGTCTCTGTCTCTCTGAGATTGTCCCGCCCTAGGAGTGTGGCCAGTCCGGGGCCTCAGGAGGCTGTTGAGAGGCGGGGTGCGGGTAGGGGCAGTAGCGAGGAGTGGGAAGGGCCGGGCAGTGGGTCTGTGCCGTGGGCTGCCTTCCCCATCAGGGTGCAGCCCCTGCTCTGGGGGACGGTGCAGTTAGTAGCCCGCCGGAGCGCAGCTCGGAGGTGACCCCTTGTCACTCTGCCCGCTTCCCAGCACCCGCCGGCCTGAGCCATGGGTCCAGGCGACTCTTGTGCAGGGTGGCGGATGCAGGCTCCCTGTCGGCGGGCCGGCGACTTCTCGCTGGTAGGTGGTTGGGTGTTGGCGGGTCTTGGTATCAGCAGGCAATTGATGTGATCTGGGTCTCTTTGGGGTTGGTGGCCCATGTCTGACTTCAGGGCCTGTCTGCACTAGGAAGTCTTATTGTTTGAACTATACGAGTATAATTAAAGCAGTAACCCCCTAGTGTAGATGCAGTAAAACGGGTATAAAAGTGCTTATACAAGTATGGTTTATTCTAGATTAGAAAGGGAAATAAATTATACCAGTGTTAGGTACCTTTGTACTGGTATAACTGCATCCATAGTGGGCTTAAAATGGTATCAGTGTAACGATAAAAATCACAACCGTATCTGACATACCCATATGGTAGTCCAGAGCTTAGAACTGTATCTACAACGCAGTAGTTGATTATGGCACAGGCACTTCCAGTGCAAATTAGCCAAAATCATGCACCACCAATACTGAGGCTCCCAGTAACAGTGATTGATACTGACTATGTGATAAGCGAAGATGATTTTCCAGTACATTGCTTAGATGCAGACCTGGAACTGAGCTAAATACCTGATTCTGACCAGCTTTTAATTTTTTTGGGTGTGTGTCTAATTCATATCCAAACTTGGTAACTCAGGATCTCTTATAATTTGGGGTAAAAGGCAATGTTCCCTCTAATTTTTTACATCCATGTGCCGAATGAGTTCTATGATGTGCACCAATATGGAGGTGATGTGTGGTGGGGGTGGGGCCGAGGGGTTTGGAGTGTGGGAGGATGCTCAGGTCTAGGGCAGAGGGTTGGGCTTGGGGTGCAGGGGGGCGAGGGCTCTGGCTGGAGGTGTGGGCTCTGAGGATGAGGGTTTTGGGGTGCATACTGCCCCGGGGCTGCGGTGGAGAGAGAGGACTTAAAGGGAACTTAGGTAAGAGGATGTTGGGCAGACAGAGGATGGACACTGATAATAGGTTTCATGTTAAGGTTTGTAGTGAAACTATGGGTTTCTAGTATTTCAGAAATTAAAACAATAGTCTTAAATATTCATTTTAAATAGTTATATCTGTTTAATGTGTTTGAATCATAATTCTTTTAAAAATTTAAAAATCATGATAGGTGATAACGTGGTTTATATGGTTTTCTTCTGATATGCCATACTGTCTTAAAATTAGAGATGTGATGTAGAGACATTATATATTCTTCTTTGAAATACAAGAAAATATATTCAAATCAATTACTTTTCCCAAAGTACTTTTTTAACCTCTTATAACCTAATTGATTCATAGCTGACCAAATTTATAGAGACAGAGACCTCAGCCATCTGCTGTTCCTTTTTGCTCACATTCCAAAATATTGCACCAACCTGTATATGAAATAATAAGTGACCATTAATTATGTCTGTTAATAATACTGTCCAGGACTGTTAAATAGTTATTCTAAACCAAGTGTTTTTTTTGAGAGATGATTTTACAAGAAAAAACAGAAGCTCTCAAGCTTTCCCACCCAACTGACAATTTTGTTTAACCAAAAATCATTCATGCACTATTTCTGTCATAAACAGTTTAATATCAAAACAAAATTTATTTTGAAGGTGAAGGAATATAGAATTCTGACTTCCCATAAAAATGATTTACAGCTTTAACTATGGAGCCGTTACTGCAGATTCATAGTAATTGTCTAAAATATTGGAAAAAAGAATTAAAATCTTAGACAATATGCTTTGGAGAGTTCTTTTACGCTCCTTTCTGTATCTCTTGTGCACCATTACGTGCCTCTGTAGTTACAGAGATGCTAGCGTTGAGAACATGAGAAAAAGGCTTCCAGCCTTTGGTAGAGGTTAGTCAGCAAACTTTTTTTCTGTAAACTCCTATAGTATTAGAAAAGTGATGATTCTCATACAAAGGAAAAAAATTAATGAACAGCAGATGCTGAACAGTGAAATCTTCAGTGAGCTTAAACTCAAAAAGGAAGCTTACAAGAAGTGGAAATTTGGACAGATGACTAGGGAGGAGTATAAAAATATTGCTAGAGCATGTGGGGTGTTATCAGGAAGGCCAACGCACAACTGGAGTTGCAGCTAGCAAGGGATGTGAAGGGTAACAAGAAGGATTTCTACAGGTATGTTAGCAACAAGAAGATGATCAGGGAAAGTGTGGGACCCTTACTGAATGGGGGAGGCAACATAGTGACAGATGATGTGGAAAAAGCTGAAGTACTCAATGCTTTTTTTTGCCTTGGTCTTCACAGACAAGGTCAGCTCTCAGAATGCTGCATGGGGCAACACAGTATGGGGAGGAGGTGAGTAGCCCTGAGTGGTGAAAGAACAGGTTAAGGACTATTTAGAAAAGCTGGACGAGCACAAGTCCATGGGTCCTGATCTAATGTATCCAAGGGTGCTGAGGGAGTTGGCTGATGTGATTGCAGAGCCATTGGCCATTATCTCTGAAAATTCGTGGCGATTGGGGGAGGTCCCAGATGATTGGAAAAAGGCAAATATAGTGCCCATATTTAAAAAAGGGAAGAAAGAACCCGGGGAACTACAGACTTCCAATACAGCCTCACTTCAGTCCCCAGCAAAATCAGGGAGCAGGTCCTCAAGGAATCCATTTTGAAGCACTTGGAGGAGAGGAAGGTGATCAAGAACAGTCAGCATGGATTCACCAAGGGCAAGTCATGCCTGACCAACCTGATTGCCTTCTATGATGAGATAACTGGCACTGTGGATATGGGGAAAGCAGTGGATGTGATATATCTTGACGTTAGCAAAGCTTTTGATACAGTCTCCCACAGTATTCTTGCCAGCAAGTTAAAAAAGTATGGACTGGATGAACAGACTGTAAGGTGGATAGAAAGCTGGCTAGAGTGTTGGGCTCAATGGTAGTGATCAGCGGCTCGATGTCTAGTTGGCAGCCGATATCAAGCAGAGTGCCCCAGGGGTCGGTCCTGGGGCCAGTTTTGTTCAAAATCTTTATTAATGATCTGGATGATGGGATTAATTGCACCCTCAGCAAGTTTGCAGACGACACTAAGCTGGTGGGAGAGATAGATACACTGGAGGGTAGGGATAGGATCCAGAGTGACTTAAACAAGTTGGAAGGTTGAGCTAAAAGAAATCTGATGAGGTTTAACAAGGACAAGTGCAGAGTCCTGCACTTAGGAAGGAAGTATCCCATGCACCGCTACAGGCTGGGGACTGACTGGATAAGCAGCAGAAAAGGACCTGGGGATTACAGTGGATGAGAAGCTGGATATGAGTCAACAGTGTGCCCTTGTTGTCAAGAAGGCTAACGGCATACTGGGCTGCATTAGTAAGAGCATTGCCAGCAGATCGAGGGAAGTGATTATTCCCCTCTATTCGGCACTGGTGAGGCCACAGCTGGAGTATTTCGTCCAGTTTTGGTCCCCCCACTATAGAAGGGATGTGGACAAATTGGAGAGAGTCCATCAGAGGGCAACGAAAATGATTGGGGGCTGAGGCACATGATTTACGAGGAGGGGCTGAGGGACTGGGGTTATTTAGTCTACAGAAGAGAAGAGTGAGGGGAGATTTGACGGCAGCCTTCAACTACCTGAATGGGGGTTCCAAAGAGGATGGAGCTAGGCTGTTCTCAGTGGTGGCAGATGACCGAACAAGGAGCAATGGTCTCAAGTTGCAGTTGGGGAGGTCTAGGCTGGATATTAGGAAACACTATTTCACTAGGAGGGTGGTGAAACACTGGAATGGGTTACTTGGGAGGTGGTGAAATCTCCATCCTTTGAGGTTTTTAAGGCCCGGCTTGACAAAGCCCTGGCTGGGATGATTTAGTGGGTGTTAGTCCTGCTTTGAGCAGGGGATTGGACTAGATGACCTCCTGAAGTCTCTTCCAACCCTAATATTATGTGATTCTATGCACATGTTTGGTTTTTTTTTAACCTGTGGGAAAGTGAAGTTTATGCAAAATTCTATGTAAATATGTGCTTTGGAGTCAGGAATTACCACCGCAGGCTTGATTGGGGAATGAACAAAACAAAAGAGTTAACCCAGGATAAAACTAAAGTATAATCTTTTAAGCTGTGTGCTGTATTTCCCAGCTGTGGAGTTACCATTGGGTGTAGAAAAATACACAAAAACACTTGTCTTCAGCAAAATTACATACATCTAGATATTAAAATTAGTACCAATGGAAAGGATTTCACCTTTGATGTCTGTGGCTAGTCAGTCAAATACACAAAGGTTGCATTGTTCAGAATTATATAACTTCACAACTTTTACTGTTAAAAATATGTTTGATCAAGGATGTACCTTTGCAGAAATGATGACTGTGGCTCACTGGGTGGCACTGCCAGTGTTTAATAAATGA